GTTACATAATTAAGCAGGAACTGCATGAAATAATAATCGCGAAACGGAAACACTGAAGAAATTATGGGAAGCGTCAGACAATTCAGGTGGATGATTAATTAATCATTAGGGGAAACTTAGGATGGGAATGCTCGTACATAAATTTCGAGTACGGATAAGGTGATACAGAATACAAGACATGAATATTATTGTGTTGAGCACTGAATATAATCAGGTTTTGATGTTATTAACAAGATAAACGCCCTGTATCGCGTAAACAAAGCTTTCCATGACGAATCCTCAGAAGGAAAGATAACCATTAAAAAAATAGCAGAGATACTGCTTGTTTTTAAAACATCATTGCTTCTTGTTCAGTTTATATACAGGGTGTTTCATAATTGAATGCTGATCCTAAAGGGCGCTTATCCTCGGATGAATTTAAGAAAAATTCTTCATGTGAACATAGGTCCGTAACAGCTTCGTTTCTGAGATACAGGATGTTGAAATTTAACAAAAAATTCAGTTATTCCCCAATATCTCTGAAACCGCTCTGGCTTTTTTCTTCATCACAAATACTTAAAAATAGTTACCATAAAATTATAAAAATATTGCTTAGATCTTTTGGTTACCACAATTGTGGAATTATGACTAAGAGTAAAAATCGAATAGGGACAAGCAAATGAATGCATTTTATTTTCTAACTCAAAAACCGTTCGCCGGACGAAAAAAAGACAAGGGACCATTTTTATGGGGAGATAGAGGATAATTACAAAAATAATATTCATTTGGGAAGAAGACAGTGGCGTATTATTATTTTTATGAAAAATATGACAGGGTATGTTAACAGGGACGCCACTGATGGGAATTAAGAAATTCTTCATTATGTTAAAAATTTATTTCTATTCATACTTGGCATGTACCAGAATTGAAGAAAAGAGCCAGAGCGGTTTCAGAGATATTGGAGAATAACTGATTTTTTTGTTAAATTTCAACATCCTGTATCTCAGAAACGAAGCTGTTACGGACCTATGTTCACATGAAGAATTTTCCTTAAAATCATCCTAGGATTATCGCCCTTTAGGATCAGCATTCAATTATGAAACAACCTGTATATACATATATACTATGGAAAATGGTATGTATATTTTACTTACCTACTTTTGTCACACTAAGAGAACTGCATTCAAGGACCTACATTTGAAGGGCTCTTTAGCGCCTTCAATGAATTTTCAAATACAATAGTTATTCATTATACAAGGGAAAAAAGTAGTAGATTTTAGCTCCAGGTTGTGTTGTCTCTCGACGCGTAGCGGAGGGAGACAAAAAACCGTGAGCTAAAATCTAATATTTTTCCCGTGTATAATACACTATTTTTTTCTGTGACAGAAGAAAGGACGAATCAATATAAAGAAGATATTACATCATTTTGAAATCTGAGAATTATCGACGTGAAATTTTAAGTTTTTAACAGTAGGTACACCTGCGTTGTAGGCATCTTTATCATTCTTTTGAAGTAATCAAATATCTGATGTTACTTCTGTCAGTCTAATTCTGTGATTTGATTTCAAAAAATTGCGGATTTGGTGGTTGTTTAGTAATATATGTAACCGCGGAGTCGAATGGAAGAAAAAAGGACTTGCAGTTCTTTCTCGGAGACGGTATTATTGACTCATTTTTCGGAACTATAGCACAACAAAAGCCAGCAACAGAGTATATATATATATATATATATGTGATATATATCCGGGAAAAAAGTACTCACTTTTTTCCCATGGGAAAAAAGTAATTTATGAAAAGTGACTTTTTATAACCTGCCAACAGAGATGAAATGCAAACCTTTTTTTCCGTCACAGAAAATAAAATGTTTTTTGACACCACCATGAATTATCATCAATATCATGTTTTCTGTCGAACGTTATTCTGGGACACCCTCTATAGGACACCCTATACATCTATCATATAATGATGTACCGTTGGTATTTGGGTTACCACTGCTTTATGACGAGCTTGTTGTGACAAGGATATATGTAATTAATAAGCTGTAATTACGGCAACGTTTCGAATCGATTGCTAATTAATAATCAGTGAACGTTGGATTTCATCACTACGAGATACCTATAATTTTCATTTATAGAAGTAAATTACGCGCTCATCGAAATTATGATCGCATATACACCCAGAACTATGATTAGGTATTCACTTTGATTAATCACTATTTGAGAGGGTATTTGTGATGCTAAAACATTCCAATATCTTTGTACTCTTAGTTTCATTAGGTGTAATAATACCAAATTTCGAGAGCAAATCGATCATTCGATTTCAACAAATCATCAGCAACATGGACGTTGCAAATAGATAGAGTGTCGCTAGATTTCCCATGAGCAAACACCTATTCTAAGTTCTATAAAGTGTGAGTCTGATATAATCACTTGTAGTTACATAATGTTCATTGAATACTTAGTCATTTTTGTATCTAGTGCGCAAAATGCTACTTTTGTGATCGAGCACAGTTTTTCTACCGACGGCAAAAAATATAGTTCTGAATTAGTAAGATGTTCAGTGCCGGATCAAGCCAGCGCGGGGCCTGTATAGCAAATTCTATCAAGAGGCCCGTGGTTTGCTCTATAGGTTCTCAAGTTTAGGGTACAACTATTACAAATAAACATTTCTGGATTCGATATGAACAAAATTTACAGATGACACTTTCAATATCGACTTCTTCAAGGGACCATGCTAAATGAGATTTTACTAGTCCTATTTGCTGTTAGGAATTATATTCAAGAAATTTTTTGAAATGCATTCATATAACTAGGTAATATAATTCATTCTCGTCAAGATATTTTATTTATTGGATTATCTTATCACGAACTGATTCCAGATTGATTTGAATAACCATAAAACAACAAAAGAAAAATCCCAGTCATAATTATCAAATGTTTGTTAACGTCAAATTTGTTCATAATTAAATAGCTATATTCATAATTGGAAAGGTTTATTTATCAAAATCGTACCTGATTCTCTGTTCCATTTATCAACAATAAATGATATATGTCTGCCATATTTGTTCATTTTGAACAAAATTATTTAATGATTTACAATCTATCACGATTCACGCAGTGATGATCGATATGATGAATTCCTAAATATTATAATTTGATTTGGTAATAATCAACGATGATACAGTGTCTGTTGATAAATTAATGTGTTTCTCCATTATGTCACATTTGTTCATTGAAAATCCACGTAATATAAACGATAACAATTCATTCATTGTTTGGTTATTATAATAATTCATTTGGTAATAATAATGGAAGAGTCATGGACGTAGACGATCATTTTAGTTTAGCTTCCATCTAATATAGCATGAACATCTTCCTGAAATCTTTGGTGATTGCCTTGTGATCTCGACCACAGCGAAAGCCGTGAAGTATTATGGTTATATTAGTTCGATCCGTTGTATGTCAGTCCGGGTTTGTTTACATTTGGACATTTATATTTACATAGGAGTCAAGTCAAAATTTTTGTCGGGTACTCACCCGAAAAGATACATATAATGATAAAGATGGAAAGCTTTAATTTCCAGTGATAATGGAAAATGAAAAAACTCCACCGTCCCGTGTGAGAGTCTGATCCATAACACCAATCTCAGAAAAGGAAATCAATACAAATGTTGTCGTGGTACTACCTATTTCAGGGATCATACAATATGATATATCTGCCATAACTTTGAGTTTACAGCTTCGTTCAAACACTTCTTTGGCTCAAAAACCGTACTGGCACTGAGAGCAATCGGCGCAATCGGCAGTTTTCACTCCATCTATCATTCTCTGCCGATGCCGAGACGATCTGGCCGGTTTAAAGGAGCACGTGCACTGAATCGACTCGCATCGGCACATTCAGCATGTCTTCAGCAGTTGAGCAACCATACAGCCGTAGTACAAATTGATAATAATACAAGACAAAATGAGTTCAATTGAATCCGAAGAAGATGTTAGGATTGCTTCAACATGCGGAAAAATAGGAAAAACGAAAACCAATCTTCTTATTCCTAACATCGATCCCAAAACAGGAACCTTTGAAACCGTATGGAACCTATATGAATGTTATCGTTGTATCTCCTTTTTCGGGGATAATACATCCTGATGAATTCCCGCACACTTTCAAAAACAGGTCGTCCAAGATAACTTTGAATTTGCATCTCCGTTCATAGTTCATACACCCCTTTGCCCCTGAAACCGTACAAGCAGTGAGAACAATCGGCACTTCCGGCAGTTTTTGCCCCTTCAAGAATTCTTTGCCGATGCCGAGCCAAGTCGACCGATCTGAGTCGATTCAGTGCGCGTCCTCCATAAGCCGACCGTACTGATTCAGTGCGAGTGGTCCTTATTGGAGGACACGCACTGAATCGACTAGGATCGGTCGACTCGGCTCGGCATGGTCGGCACGTTTTGCTATGCATGTAACTTGAAGCACTGAATCGGTTCCGTCGGCTTAGATCGGCCAGATCGTCTCGACATCGGCAGAGAATCCTTGAAGGGGCCAAAACTGCCGATAGAGCCGATCGCTCTCACTGCTTGTACGGTTTTTGAGACAATGGGTGTATGAACTATGAAGGAAGCTGCACATTCAAAGTTATCTCGGACGAACTGTCGATATGTGCAGGAATTCATCAGGTTGTATGAACCCCAAAAAAGTAATATCACGACAAGATTCATATAGGTCCCATACGGTTTCATAGGTTTCCCTTTTGAGATTGATGTTATGAATCAGAACTGTGGTTTCCGTTTTCCTATTTCCTGACATGTTTGAGCGATCCTAATATCTTCCTCATTTTCTCTTGTATGAAAATTAGTTCTCACTAAATGGCTGCTAAAGATATACTGAATGTGCCGATACTACCGATTCAGTGCGCGGCACAAGTTGACGTACCGACCTTTCCGAGCCGATCCCAGTCAATTCAGTGCGCGTGGTCCTTTGAGCGTGTGGTCCCACAAATAGTGAATAATTCCAATATGACTCACCTCTCTTGTCATGACGACCAGTGTGATATTTGGCGAGTTGTTTTCGTAGAAGGCATTCGGATCGGTGATGTTGATGCCCTCGTTCGGGGACCACTGGCCGACTCTACGGATCTCTTCCTTTTTCAGTTTCAGCAGATCCACTTTGAAGTTGGCCCTTTTGCCTTCGTTAAATTCCAAATTCCCTGTCAGGCCGTGCAGGCCGGTCTGCAAATAAATTCGGTAATAAAACAGGGTCGCGCTGGGATAGGACAAGGCTGTTATCGTAACGACTTTACTAGAGTCTCGGGTCGTATAAAGGACATACCTAATTACCTACAAAATTCGATGAGGAATACGAGAAATTGTACCATGATGTTGAAGCTTCGAGAAACGAATTTGATTTGGAGCTAAGAGGAAGTCATAGGGGATAGTCATGACCGCAGAATGAACTCAATCCTTAACATACTCACTCTACTGATACATACATTTCAATGGAACGCTTCGAGGCCATTGGCTATTGAGACTATTGGAAATTTGTTCATTCATTGCGATAAAAACTTGTGACTCAGCTCAAATTCGAAAATACAAACAATAAGTTGAAAAAAGCCTGAAATAGGTAGAGTCGTAGAGTCATGGATTGTGGAATGCCCTATTTTTGACAAAGCTACAGGTGCTATCAGTTCCAATTTGATATAATATCATTCCATTGAGTTTATAGTTTTTTCACAAGTGTGTTTATTTCATTGGTATATATATGTAACGAGTATTGCATGGTTGATGGATTTTAGGTGCTCACGAAATAATTAGGTGAGTTTAATAAATTCATATTTCAAACACATTTGAAAGTGATTTTATTTCATATATTATTGTTTATTTGGGTCTATGAATGATGTATGGAAGGTCCAGTATAGAGATAGATTTGTATTTTTTTGAATTATTCAACCTCCGAAGTAATATAGGCGGCAATTATGGAATAGTACTCCATATTACCAGACTCAATTATTAACTTCCTCGAAAAATAACCAAAATAAAAAACAATGTGAACCAAAACTCCACAAAGTAATAAGTGGAATGGAGAAGATGAACATTGCGAGTTGAGTTGAGTAGGATTTGACTGAATTCATCTGGTCATGACTAGACTTCCGCCCATTTGCCCTCTGTATGATTGTTTTTTTCTTCTATTTTGGGACAAATAAGGACAAATTATTATTATCATTATCAACAAAAAGCAGAAGCAGGAGAATGGATATATCCAATCTTCCATCCATTATAGTAAATATGAATAGTGGATCCAAAGCCTATGATGCGACCTTATAGGTATTTTATATTACCCGGTCATTTCTTCGTTGTATTTTTTGATAATCCAAAATATTATTCTCTTGTTTATATTTGCCTAAGTTTGTTATCATAATCCGGTCTTATGAATCTATTGGCAACCGCCATCACCATTTTAAATTTATATTTCATTCAATACTTTTCGGAATAACTCAAGAAATAAAACCGGTATTCCATAATCCCACACTCTACTCTACGTATTTCGATAACTGTATTGCCGTAGAACCAGAAAAAAATCATGATCAGTTCACTATAAATCAAAATTACGAGCGTGAGAACAGTTATGCGTCAATGAACATTGCGAAATAGTGAATTGAAAAGTGATGGGTCCTAAATCTTGATTCATTGAGTTATCTCTATATTGCCTTTTATAAGTACTATACAAACTTTCCAAAATATTTGGGGGAGTTTTTTATATCGGGATTTTAATTCCTCTGTGAAATTCACGGAAAGTTATAACATACGTATCTTTTATTTCCCCAATAGGCTGAAAATTCACTTCATAAAAATGAGGAGAAATATTTTGGTCTTCTCCAACAGTCTGCTGACGTCAATGGTGAACAGTCATGTATTTGTTATTTGATTTCTAGATCAGTTGAACAGTATAAACCAAATTATCCATGGAACCAAATTATCCATGGATTGCTTAAATTTTTTTGTATGGATATTTATCTATAATTCATAGACGAATTATGAGATTCCATACCTCTTTAGATAAAAAGGTACTTCTGTTTCGTAACGATCGGACGTATCATCATCGAGTAAATGAGTCGTAGTGAAAAGGGAAAAAAGAGCACAAAAATTGAAGTAGTTTTTCATCATCATTCTCCTATTTCTCGCCTTTCCATACAATTGTTTGGTGAAAAAAAAAGAAGTTTTTTCATAGTCACTACTATTTGAAAATAGGAAACGTTATGCACAAGAGGTGAGTGTATCGATATTTTCAAATCGATGTCGCTCGAGAATGATACATCCCGTCGATACGTAACAAGAGCGGTGTGAATCCTCATAATCGGAGATTGAATTGTTGGAGAATCTGCATACAAAAAAGTTTGAGCAATATTGAATGTAGTAACACCCTGTATTATACACTCCTGAATGAAACTTCGAAAAGATTTCATGTTCACCGCCTTGGCATAGAAATTTTAGTTCTTGTACCAAATTGGATCATTTCATCACGTGGCGTTTCGGAATAATTCAAGAAACATCAACTTCAGGAGCTTCCGTTCAGGGGGCCGTGTAGCTCCTTAGGAGACACTTTTCAACTCATGTTCATTGGAACTCCTCTTTCTGCCTTCGGTCGGGAAAGCCTCGGGACACCCGGTATATATCAATAATATCTATAGAATATCTCCATTACTCAAAGTTGGATTTCAAAATAAATATAATCAAAATAAAATTGAAGGGATCCTTAGTGGATTTTTTTCAAGAAATTAGTAAATTAAACCTGCCAACCGCGCCCAAAACCAGTTTTACACTGAACCATGTTGATAGCTGCGGATTCAAAGAGGTTATGTTCCCATATTTATTGTTGTTCACAGTTTTCCACTTTTGTCCTAATTCACGGACTAGTAATATACCTGCGTATATACGCTGTTATCGTTATATTCCCACATGTACATTGTGATGCAGTTGTTGTGATTCAAGTTGAATTTCATCTCTATAGACCAATTAGTTCGTTGGAACTCGCACTAATGGTAAGCAATAAGCTCTTATATTATTTCCATAATCCTTCAATTCATAAATTTCTCAGGATATATCTACTCGTAATCACCATGGGTAGACATCTGAAAGAGTAAAACGTAGATTGTTTTTCACCTCCAGTTTGAACTTTTTCTGAGAATTGTATCTAGTTATTATACCCAAATTCATAGTCATAGTTGTCTGCTTACCTATTTCTTTATTGCTTTATAGTTCAAGAAAAGAGATAATTCGAATTATTCATTTCAATAGTCATTATGATTTGTAGAAGCATAATCCTAATCAGTGTGAACATAATTTGATGAACTTCCCCATTCCCCATTGTTCGGTACATGTACGCATTTTGAAATCACCCTGGATATTCATCCACTCAATAATCACAGACAAAAAGCCTTTTCCTGAGCCATCAGTATTTGATAATATCGAAAACAACTCAAGCTATCGACTTCGCGACCTTCATGCTATTGTTTTCGTCCAACGAACCAACGATAACGCACCTAATTGATTGCCCCTTTCTCCCACTTCATTAAATAGATTATTCGACTCACCACCGCATCAATGTAGTTGTACAAAGATAATCCATCATCCCAGGGCTTCTCCACGTCACAGGATAAATTCATCGGCCTGATAGATTGGCCGGAGTCCATTGCGGATAATCCCTTGGCAAATACGTACACCGAATCGAACATCAGAGCTGGCTCTGCCTACAAACCGAAAGATCAGGGTGTTAAACGTTAGTGTACTCTGATTTATAGTCTGATAATTAATTGCACGAGGAACCGAACACTCAACAAATCTGAATCGATCCAAGAACTGAACGTTTCAGCATCACAAGTCAATAAAGGTAAGTAACAGAGGCATGCATCATTTTTGCTGATGCCATCACTCAGTCCAATGATGTCGAAAACCTTGTAGCTATCTGTGTTAGTGAATGCTGGACCATAATCATCATGGTTGAAATGTGAAAGCATCAAAGCTTTACAGAAGATCGTTCTGAGTTTTTTGCTTTACGGTCCAGTCATCATAAAGCTTCTCCATATTGTGTTAAACTAACAATCAAAGTATTAGTTATCGAGAATATTGCCCAAATTATTCGCTATTTGAAATCAATAACCTGCCTGTTATCAACCAGAAGATTGGCAAGCTCCAAACATCTACTTCAGAAAATCAAGAAGTTTCGATGTGTGTGAGATGTAATTAGTTCAGCTCACTTCAATCACGATTCCCAACGAGTACCTATACCTAGTGATTCAGTCTTCCCATTGTGTAAACTATATACTGGAGTTTCTTGTGTAGATGAGATTGAGAACTCATGAGTTAAAAAACGAATTGTTTCTTTGAGTATATCATGAAAATTCCATCTGTCCAAAGAGTAACAGTACCTGAAAACCTTTGCTTCGGGCATGAAAGAAAACTTCATGATAGCCCCTAACAACACAGGAATGTCCTAGGTACGTCCCTTTTTTGACCCGCGGTACAAAGACATGATTGGGGCATTCAGGGGATGTCCCGCAGTGATTGTCCAGTGGACATCCCTCCCAGTACATCCCTAGGTTATCATATTCGTGTCCCTGGAATATATGATATCCATTCATATCAGAGTCAGTAAATTTTATCAAAATATTGAGTTGAATTCTTTTGAAAGTGTTTGTTTATCTTCCGGAAAATAATTGTAATGAAAATAAAGAATTAGTCTCAGAACTACTTGAGAAATTACCATTTTTCGCAAACAGATATCGTAAATGCCTAATGCCCCTCAACACCCAAGAATAAAAATAATTATACATGAAATCCTAACAAAGTTGTATTCATCCAGGTTTCAGTTTTGTACTGTTTATGAATCTGTTCAGTACATAAATCTTCAGGAGGCATATTAGCCAATAGAGTGAGGTGCGTGCCTGATAAGCTGAAGGTCCCGGGTTCAATCCCAACTTGACCCAACTTTTTCTTTTTGTCGAAGGGATGTCCCTGGAATATCCTTGGGACGTCATAGAAATAGCCTTCCTTCGTACTTGGTACATCCCAGGGACGTACCAGAAGGACATTCCTTGGATGTCCTATTTGTTTGAGAGTGGATGTCCCTGGGACGTCCTTATTATGTACTTTGCCCGACAAAGGATATCCCTGGGATATCCAAGTATAAAATTAGGGACGTCCCTGGGAAGTCCCTAGGATTTACTTGTGTTATTGTTAGGGGCCATTATAGTTCCTCGAAGTTCACCACGCAAACCGGGTCAACAATAAGTTAACCAGTCAATTTTCCTCGAAGTGTATTCCAAACTATGATGAAATAGTCAAATAACAACTCCGAAAACCAGCTCACTGAGGTTGCTTTTGGTTGGGCACTGGATCGGGCTCTTGTTGCTATTATTATCTGAGGTAAGAGTTGATGAGAAGGAATTATCACAGTTTTTGAAGAAATAATCATGGATTCATGCGAAGTATTCATAATTGAAGAAAAAGAAATATTGGATTCCTTGAAATAGCCAATTAATAAAAACAATTATTGACAAACTAGAGCATCTGTCAAGCTTCACAAGTGAACCGTGACGCCACGTGAAGTAACTGTGTGACGTCATGAAAAAATTGAACCTATTTGAGCTTTATTAGTTTCGAGGAAAAATGGCTTATATATGGGAATATTAACCGGCACTTCCATCATGCTAAAATAACTATCATACCCGAATCCATGCCGAAAAGTGAAGTGGTCAGTTTAATTTTTCCCCTGTTGCCTATTCATCTCTGGAATATGGAAATCCTTCATGAGAAATAACCTTGTGACAACCTGATACTTTCGTGATGGTTATGAAGGATGTGATGTTCATTCATGGTGTAGCCGAATGCACACGCAATTTGAGTCCATCAAAATTTCAATTATCCAGATTGAAGTCATTCGGTGAATGACCCTCTGTCACTAGCTTCATATCTCATGACAAACGACTCTCATAGCCACAACAGCGTGATAATCACCCTTTTAACTGCAAGTGCAATCACTGTTGATTGATGTGAGTCCCACACTGTCCGAATCCATTTAGAAAAACTTCAATTATTATAGGTACTTGAATCATTCTATATCTACCACATTAGATTGTTTGATGAATCTTGATTTAGACTCAACGGATTCGTTCGGACTGGCGATTTCAAGAGCTTGCTGATCGAATAGCTCGTGTCTTTAGGAATACAAATTTGATGATGAAATCGGACATCTGCCAGGGAACACTGTACTTATAAAATAACAGTTTTTCACCATGCTCCGACCTTCGGTGTCGATCATATTGGTCGTTGCCAACAAAAATCAATCAAGGTACTGTCCTAGGACCAATATTATTCATTATTTATATAAATATCTCATTTACTCAAAGTAGTGAAGGTCACATCATCAGTTTCGCCGATGACACTACAATATTATATCGAGCAGAAAATTGACAACTGCTCAAACAAAAGGCTGAGACGGACATGAGAACTATGAAACAGTGAATGGATTCGAAACTACTCACTATAAATTTTGAACGAAATTCATGACATTCACTTGTACGAATAGAAACGGTCCTGATCCCAAAACTCTGGATATTGGTAATAATATACTCATATATAGAACTGAACAGTTAAATTCTTGGGAATAACTATAGATCAGATCTTAGATGGGAACAACACATCCAAAATGTCACAGGAACCCTGATATGTCTTTTGTTCAAATTCAAGATACTGGCGAATATTCCAGAACTGAAGGATCTGGAAGTAATTTATTACGCGCTCGGGGAGTCCAGACTTAGATATGGCATTATTGGATGGGGTGGTGCTGCGAAGCAATACTTAAAAAGACTTGAGGTCATTCAAAAAAAGATTTTGAAAATAAAGTTAAAAAAAGAAAACACTTATCCATCTACAAAGTCATTTCAAGATACGAAAACTTTCGACATCCAGCAACTCTTTTGTTAGGTACTCAATTATAATAAATCAGTTCAATAAAAAAGATGAAATACAATCAATCACATGTACAATACTCGCCAACGCTACACAAAGTACAAGACACAACTTGCACAAAAAACCATACGAAAACGAAATTGTCGGAACTGAATAAATTATTTGGTTGACACGTCGTTTTCCATGAGCTATTACATTAGGTACTAGAGTTATTTTGATTGTTTATTTTTTTTTCTCAAGTATACATTGCATTTTGTCTATATGTTAGTCTATGAAGGTGTATTGAATATTTGATTTATATTATTTTGTATCTCGATTCGTCAAATGTCAAAAAATATCAATTGATTATACATTCATTCAAATTTCATCCTATAATACAATAGGTAATTAACTATCAATTCGAAATATTATTTGAACATGTTATTTATATCATGAACATAATAATATAAACAAAATGAATGATAATGTATCCCACGCACAGTCTTCTGACTATGTGGGTACCTCCGGTTTATTGTAATATTTAGACTATATCATTATGTACTTACATTATGATTTCTGTACTACCCGATTGTATTTGTATAATATTTGTATATTTGGATTTATGTATTCATGTTCATTATAATAAACTATTATTATTATTATTATATAATTGATCAATCAATCGATCGATCAATCAGCAATCAATCAAATATACTTCATTGTCTGAGGATAATGGATTTTATTGACAAAGCGAAATGTACATAATCGGTCGATAGTCCCGATGGCGAATCTATATATCAATAATATCGATAACATCGATAATACCGATAATCATCGATAATATCGATGAACCGATAATATCGATACATTGTGATTATCGATAATCGATAATACAAAATCACTATTGCCCACCCCTTATCACAGGCATATGGATCATCCTGTATAGTTGACACAAAAATGTTCACATGACTTCAAATTACTTCGATTCGCAACTGTTCCTGTATCTATTCCAGTTTACCAGATGGGGGGTTGCCCATGTTATGTGGCATACCTTGTACTTTTTTTTATCAAAGCCAACAGTCTGCAAGAGGGACAGAATAGCTCATCTAAATTCATTCTAAATATATACCGCCAATTTCGTCTGCATATATAACCAAGTTGTCCCAAAATTGCTGGGATCTAGAGCTACATGGTGTAATTCAGTTCAAAATGAGCTGATTCGACCAAACTTATTTTTATAAAAAAATGTACTGTTTGTCCGTGAGACCAGTTCGAAGTTCACATGAAAAAACACATTTTTGTACGCTGTTCGACAATCAATGAAACAAATTGGATGAAATTTGACAGAAGCGCATCTTAGAAGATAACTCTTTTTCCACTGATCGAAGAATCTCCAAAGATATTGTAGAAGGGTTGAAACCACCCTCACCCCTTGACATTTTTGTCAGAACATTCTTAGGAGTGATAATAGGGTTCTCAATCTCCTATATTGAGTTGACTGATCGATTTTCTTCATTTTGTTACTCTTGTCAAAATTTCGTAATACGCATAGTTCCGAAGAAAAAAAAATGTTTTCTTGGATAATGCAGACAGATATTCCGAGAAGAAGTTCGATATCAATACATGGTGTCTCGAAATCAGCCTGCCAAACTTCACCAGCGGCATCTACGATACGACTAAAAATGGAAAAAAAGTTCCAATGAACATGAGTCGAAAAATGTCTCCTAAGAGAGCTACGACTTCCTGGAAGGGGTCTCTTGAGGATACGACTTCCTGGAAGGGGTATCCTGAGGATGATATGACGACTCATGTTCATTGGAACTTTTCTTCTTATCATTAATCGTAGAAGCAGCTGGTGAAGTATGGCAGGCTGATTTTGGGACACACTGTATTGATATCAAACTTTCCCTAGCAATATCTGTTTACATTATTTAAGAGAACATCTTCTTTTAAGGAACTATGCGTAATACGAAATTTTCACAAGAGCAACAAAATGACTATAAATCACTCGTCTCGGTACAAAGAATTTAGAACCCTTTTACCACTCCTGAGAATGATATGTAAAAAATGTTGGGGGTGAGGGTGGTTTCAACCCTTCTACAATATCTTCCGGAATTATTTGATCACTGAAAAAAGAGTTATCCTCTGAAATGCATTACTGTCAAATTTCATCCAATTTGTTTCACTCATTTGCGGACAGCGTACAAAAATATGTTTTTTTATGTAAACTTTGAACTCGTCTCACGGGCAACCGGTACATTTTTTTATATGAATTAGTTGGGTTCAATCGACTTATTTTGAACTGAATAACACGTGGTAGCTCTGTGTCCCAGCAATTCTTGGGACACCCTGTATAAACGCTTTTGAAAACTGAGCATATTCTGAAGATTTGGTATGTAGTAGGTAGTAGTCACTTACCTGAATGATGCCACTTCTATTTAGAATAGCATGCCCTATTGGTTGAAACTTCTCCATGGTCTGCAAGATATCCTTCACTTTGGGGTGCTCAACGTCAACAATTCGGAAGGCTGTTATATTCACGGAGTTGTACTTGAAGTCTTCAAGGTCGAATGTCTCAAGATCCTGTGAATAAGTATGGAGATGAAATTTAAAATGTAAAAACTTCACAAACGATAAGATTTCCACAAAATTCTCAAACACACGACATGTTCTGCAAACACAGTAGCTTCGTCAGGTGATATACTGGTACGAGAATTTTGTGAAAATCTTATAGTTTGTGAAGTTTTCACATTTGCCATGGATTTCCATGAACGGCCGAGTCAATTCAAAAAGAGACAAAAATTGTTCAATAATAGTTATTTATGTAATAAGGATCATAAAGACGATCATTATGGTTCAAGTCGTGAATGTTATCGGGCGAGGCGTAGCCGAGTCCGATAACACGGCGTGTGCCATAATGATTGTTTATGATTCGTATTACATACAAAATTTCATCTGATGGCATTTATATCAATACATTTTCGAAAAATTAAAAACTGCATTTTCGACATGTCACAATGACAACTATTTTTAAAGGAGTAAGTATTGTGTAGTTTCAAATATTAGTAGGTGAGTGAGCTGTGCTTTGCCATTATATTAATATTACAAATTGTAGTAATTGTTCTTTTACCATTTATAATAAATAGTTTTGTACATTTCGAATAAACTTTTTTGATCAAACCATTACATGTTTTCCTTATAGAATTTCATTATGGTACTTAGTCCCATAATGAATTCATTATGGTACTTAGTCCCATAATGAGCTTCCTTATGTCATCAAAATTGAGTGACATAACGTTGTCATTATGACATGCCATCAGATAAAATATGTTTGGCGCAGTTCTGTTTATAAGTTTCACTGGTCTATACTTACAAATGTGGTGAACATGTAGTGGTATCGGTAGTCATTCATCTGGAGTTGCAGAATCTGTAATAATTAGAATAGAAATGTATGATTCGAATATTCAGCTGATGATGTTTATGTAACATGACTGAAACAAGTAAACATGCTAATTTGAACAAATATACACTGTTTCGAATACATTTGTACGAACACATTTACATTCCCACGAAGCAAACAGCTATATGAATTGGAAATTATCTACATATTGTAGACCCTGGATATACTAGGTATGTTTGTTACTCTTTATTGTATGTTCATGAATAATTTCGAAGGTATGATCAATACGATTTCCATAAGTACTTGGTTATATATTTCTCATCTTATACTTATCGAGTATATATATTTAAATAACATCTGACTCGGATAATTTTAAGTCCTAAATGACTTGGGCGCAATTTTAAATATTCAAGTGACGTATTCCCGAGACAGCTTTAAGGAAAAAAGTCTTTATAACTTGTGCCCGTGAATGCTTCGTTTCTGAGATACAGGGTGTCAAAATTGAACATGTTTTCGAAAACAATTTTTGCGAAAAATGAGTTATTTGAACGAAATTTGGTACCCCTGGATTTTTTAAGTGGAAAATCATGCATAATATCGTATTCATTTTTATGTAAAATCTACGCGTACTCTGTCAGTATATGTATTCCGAAGTGCTCTAACATTTTCGACAGTAACTTCTGGTACTTTTTATGTGAGAATCATATTTCCACACATTCTCCAAATAAAAAAGGTACACTTCCTCAACAACGCTGGAAGTGATCGTTTTCGAGATATTTACAATTGTTTATATCAATGCATGTTACTTAGATCCTAGGGCGCTGAGTGAATTTGCTGAGAACATTCGGAAACTAAGTATGTGATTAATCTCGTTGAATAATAGTATATTATTCAATGAGCATATAATGAGGGCTATTATTCAGGAAAGTCAAGTTTATGTATGTTCATAATTAACCTATAATAATACTATGGGTTGTCCATGACTACTATTGTCTTTGAAGGAAAACGATAGCCATTTTTCACACCAGTGAATAATAGCCGTGAATAACCATTATTCACTGGTCTGAAATTTCTTATATGTCATATCGCGTATCCTAGGAACTCTAGACCAGTGAATTATGGTTATTCGCTGCTATTATTCACTGGTGGAAACTGGCTACCGTTCTGCTTGAGGAAGTACATGTATTATAAATATTTTATACAACAGTCGTGGAAATACAACTTTTTTTCTATGGAATGTTTATCAAAAAATAATATGTCTCCGAGATACATATGGTTGAAATTTTTCAAAGCTTCATAAGTAAATGCAACTGCAGATATTTCCAATACATTAATAAAGTCATTGACTGGAATTGAAAGTTAGTCGGAAAATCGTGTTTAGAAGAAATTTATCACAAATAAATATTACAATTAGAAGAAAAACAATGAGGAAAAATGTGCAAATCGAAGAGACAAATTGAGGACACAGAGATCCATTGGAGTATTTGAGTATTTATTTTTATTTTAGTATTTATTATAACCCTGAACGGTCTTTTTTTATGTTCTGGTTCCCACGAAAAGGGATATCCTGTAATGTTCAGAGAACATCGTGAGAACCAAGGGAAATGAGGTAGGTATTGGTGTTCTTCTTGAATTTCTGGAGGTTATATGCTTCGGGGAACACCTCCCTTGGCAATGTGCTCCAGAGCCTCGCTGTTCGTTGGATAAACGAGTCTTCGGAAGAAAATGTTCTGTAGGTCTCCAAAGTGACCACGAATTTTCTAATGAATCATTCGACTTTCTGATGAGGATGAAAATTTCACCAAATTGGGAACTAAACAACGAAAACAATATGGAGAGGATTCGTGAGATTTGATTCAAGTACGTATGTAGGTGATTCATCTTAAAACCTACAAATTTCGCCACTGTAGTTTGTATTTCAATTTGTTTCTATCAATCGAAACCAATATTTTTGAATAATAATCTTCTGTTCCCAGTTACGTACCTATCTATCTATTATCGAAATGTGATCGATCTGATTTTCCTTTTATATACTCATTTCATATTCATGTTTCTTGTTTCATTCAATTCCATTCAACAAATCCTATTATTTATGTCATATTTTCCATTTTGATCATCAAACTCTTATTAGATTGTGTTCTGATGAAAAAGTCCAAGATACTCAATACTGAATCAATAGATGATTCAGGTGTCAGTTACAGTGAACTCGTAGACCGGCAGGTAGTGACACCAGACCGCAACATACCTTAAACCGGCCCTGATGACTTGAGACACAGTTTCATTGTTTCTGAAGTGTCCATCCTTACAAGTGAAATGAATTGACATATGCTTTATGTATCTGTAGAATATATTGAAATTGTTCGAAAATAAACGAAAAGAAGATTGGACGATGTTGTTCGGCGAATTGAGGAACTCGAATGTCAAAACCAAGTCTCCAGCTTGTCGGCAAAGGAAAGCAGAAGGGAATCCAGTTGTTATCGATGAATGCGGAGTAGGTTTTTTCTGTCGTTCAGAGCAATAAGGAGTTAAACCGTTCAAATAGATTCCCATGTCAGCGAACATCGTACAAACGATGTTATTTCAAGTTAACGGTTTTCTCACACGAATTTGTTCGGAAACATTCATCCGCATAAGGAGAAAATGCCAACCCATTACTGGTATGTGGAAGACGTGAAAATCCACATACACTTTTGGATGTGTGTATGCCGTGGATTGGGAATTTGATGTTGGATAAAAGTAGATTGTTTTATTAGGATCGAAAGTGACACTTTGTTTGACAAGCGAATTTTGCATTTTCGAGGCGGAGCGTTTAGCGAAGCCGAGCGAAAGCAAAATTTGCGAGTCGAACAAAGTCACTTTTGATCCGAATGGAACATGCTATTTTTTCTGCAACCGAAACAATTAACTCAAATAAACATGTGAAGTAACCACCAATGCCGTGCCATATGTATGGAATGCAACAAATATTGACAAATAATCCATGTGGTAAGAATATTCTACCTGCATTAACAGCAGGTTAGGTTTTCAAGGATGTTCGAATTGTAGTTTCAATATAAATACAACCACAGAGTGACATATTTGTGTATGGACCAGTAGTGCTCTAATGGTAAATACCTACCGCGCCAGTGCCAGGTATAGGAACAAGACGTGAAAAATGTTAGGTTAATGAGCATATCAACAATGATAATAGTGATTATTTATTCCTCCCCATACTACACTGTGTTTGACTTGGTAAACTATTGCTTGCCGTGATTATTCAAAAACAAGTTATCCATCCCGAGAATAACGAATGAAATACAGATCAAGCAAGTATTTGAATCTTGAAGGCTTCCCTGATCAAACAAAAATACTTAGCTGAGATGTTCATAATTCCAATACTAAACTATAATAAAGTGTATTTATATCTCCAGCATGGGTATGAAATGCCAAATCTGCTGAAATCGAAAACAAATCAGGTATGCGTCTCAACCCAACCCAAGTAGCACACATATATTGGGACAATATCGGTGCAATATAACGAAAATATCGGCAAAATATTGTGAAAGTAATATTGGCGAGAAAAAAAATGTGAACATTCGGCGATATTGGTACAATATCAGTTTCCAAATGTGGGTAGAATATTCTCATATCAATATTGGTTGAATATTCGTAGAGTAATATCGGACACACAATGTAATATCAATATTGGCGAGAAATTGATGGTGAACATTCGGCAATATTGGTGTAATATATGGAAATATCGGTGAATCATTGGAAATCATCATGAAGGTATGTTGTCTCAGAAATATTGGTAGAATATTCTCATACCAATATTGCTGGTATATTCGTGAAGTTATATTGGTCACGAAATGTGATATCAATATACTGGTGCAATATTGGTTGGAAATATTGGTACATTATTGAAAATCATTATGTAGCTATGTTGTCTTCAAAATATTGGTGGAATATTTCCATACCAATATTTGCGAATTATTCGCATCAGGTATAATCACAAAGGTCAGCCCAGCCGGAGTGCAATGGAAGGGCCTTGCCCTAGGAAAGCCGCCTTGTTGATCACGGTTAACCCCTACTCCAGGTTATAATACTTTACAATCGTCTAGAGCCAATATTTAAATTCTCTCGTCGGATCGGCAATGAGAGTACGTTACCAATCATTTATAGCGCCATCTATCGACATCGGTTTAGGAATGCGTAATATGGAATAAATATCGAAATTTCGATATCGATATGTATTCTCAAAACAATATGTGAACAATATTGCTTACATGATATAGTGAATCACATATCAGCTAATATAAAATGATATTATTTTCTGGATATGGCTAGAAAACTATTCATCCAATATGCAATTGAACTTGAAAATACAATATTGTTTTTCTCTTCTATGTCCGATATAAGATACATATTGAATTGCCGTTACTGATATTCATATTTGAATCATTGAAAACCCCTTCAGAATCGACATGTGGAGAATGTTCAAATTGCTATATTGGTTATAATTGTTGGAAACAATATGTATACAATATCTTCCGCATGATATGGATAGAATGATATTAATCAAGATAAGTGAATATGATATTTCGAATATTGTTGAAACAATATTCAACCAATATGCCGTCGAACTCAAATATACAATATTGCACAACCGCTTCAGAATCATTATGGGGACAATATTCAAATCGCGATATTGGTTATAAATGTAAGAAGCAAATTGTATACGATATCTTCCGCATGATATAGATAAAATGATATCAATCAAGATGGGTGAATATAATGTTTCAAATATTGTTAAAACAATATCCAACCGATATGCCGTTTAACTTGAATATACAATATTGCATAACCGCTTCAGAATCGACATGGGGAGAATGTTCAAATTGCAATATTGGTTGTAAATGTCGGGAACAATATGTATTCGATGTTGTTGTATCGACATTCGTAAAACAATATTATATAACATTCATAGATATGTTTTTCAACACATTGTTAACGAATTTTACAACCAATATTGCTCCAATATTGTAGCTGACAATCCATATTCAGCTCAGGTTGAACCAATATTCCACCAATATTATCATTCCAATATTGTTTGTCCAATATACTCTCATATTGGACCTATATTATTTTTCACATGTACGATATATCTTTATCGGCCCAATATGAAATCGGGTTCCAGCCAGTATGATGTGCTACCTGGGAAATAACCAACCGTAGCAATGTTGTTTATTCTTGATGACGTACAGTACATCCTTTTTAGTTCCTAGGAGTTCAACTTTAGCTCTTAGGAACTAAAGTTCAACTTTAACTCCTAGGAACTGAATATGTTGCCTAGCAACATACCCATCTTTGGTGTCAGTAATAGAAACGTCAATTTAAGAGCTAATTTTGGTATCAAAAAGGACGACTTTTGTGTCAGTTGCAGAAAAGAGGCATTTTTACCTTTGGTGTAATGAGGAAGGTACCTTCGACAAGAGTGCCTCGAACATCTCCTTTCACGCTCTTCAAAGACTGTATGCACACTAGTCATGTTTCAAACAGCTGAATAAAAAACATGAGATAGAAATATGATTTATTATGGTGCCTTCATGAATGAGTGACGATGATAGTGGTACACTTTCTGATTGGTCAGACCTTCTTTATACAATGGTCAGACCTTCAATATGGAGGAGCATCCGTACCTGTCTTATCTCCTTCATTCAATTCTACGCATTCGATTTCACTCTGTCAATGCTATGTCTCTGTTAGTTGCTCATTGGAAACAAATCATCCAACAATCAGACATGAAACTCTATACGTCAGTACCTTTTGGATATCACCAATTAGAATCCGTCCTTTGGGACCCGAAGACTCAGATTATTCAGATGATGCCATGAAAATATCAAATATCTGAACCTAACCTCAGGTGGGCACTTCAAAGGCACAAATTCATTACTGCATGGGAGATACCCTTCAGATTTTCAGGTATTCAGTGACTTGACTATGAATGACATTCCGGAAACGGCAGTCATTTGAAGATCTATTGTCGTCACTCGATTCAATCTACTCACTCTATGATTCTTAATAAGAGATGCGATGTCATTTTTCTATTCCCCTACATTTGACGAGTGCAGATATATTATTATTCGAAATCCTAACATTGGCGTAACACCAAAGGCACATAGTGTAGTTATATCAATATTATATCAATGAAAGTATTTCCATGAAATGAATATTGTAATTTGATGTTTCGACCATAGTCGATTCAAATGGAAGCATAGTAAGCGACCCAGTATACGAGGAGGTACAATATTTTCTGTTCAGTCATCCAAATTTGTTTGCCTGTCAAGTAGCGCTGGCGAACTAATAATGGGAACAGCTCATTTGTTCCTGTTAAAATAGACAATATTAGGTTGTCATTCTATTCTTTTATTTTTATTCAATCTGTACTCAGAGACGTGATATTCTTTACCAAGGCGATAAAAAAGAAGATTTTTCCATGAGATGTTGTGATCGTGAAATAAGTTTCTGACAGTGTCAGTCATTCATTTCATCTCTGCTGGCGATGTGTTGAAGTTTGAATTGTGTTATCTGTGTTTCTATCGGAATCCTTAAAAATTACAATTGTACCTGATTATTTCGTCTAGTATACTTGTTATACTATAGTTTGTTGATTGGTTCGTGAGTGCGATCGTGTTATTTCGCAAAGTCATTTTGTACTCCAAGAGGTGGAGGGATTTATGCCATATTCAATTCATACAATGGTGAAATATTTTTTTGAATCACTTATACGAAACTAGATGCATTGATATTTCTGGAAGTGAACATACTAACTACCCAACTAGGTTTTCATTGAGAACGACAATGCTTCAACGAACACTTGAAATGTCTCGTCTTTGGGCAACTGAAATAAATGTTAACAATATATTATAGATATATTCGGAAACATTCCTGCAGAGCTATCCAAGTTCCAGAAGTGACTTTTCAAATCTTAGAATGATGACTATTCGAAAATATGCGACTTATAAAAGGACTGGAATGGCAGGGCCTCCAGTTTATATTGAAGATACTTGTAAAATCAGTATATGGAGGAAAGTTGATCGCATTCAGTACTCTATGTAGGAATCAATTTCAGAATATAAAAAAACTTCAGAAGAGTGGTATATGGATAGGGTTATTGGTGTCAGATTCGTTCTGTTATTCACAGGTGAAAATATAGTACAGTATTCATGAGAATCAAATGAATGAGAATAAAAAACGAGCGAATTTAACATTCACTTCCTATTCTACTGAATCAATGAAGTTTAGAAGTTTTATAAATATGATAGAATTGTATTTTACTTACGGCTCTGAAAAACTGATTGATATTTCTTGGATTCGTATCTACTATGAGCTTATATATTTCTTTCTGTCTGATCTCTCTGAGCACTTGACGATACGTCGCCGGACTTGCCTGACGAATATAAATCTCTATCTTCGTAGCTGCTGGAGCCTTCACCAACTCTTGAAGCTTGAAAAGACCTGGAACAAATGTTGTAATCAAATAACTCTCATATTCTCTTTAGTTACCTACATCATGATGGAAGGTATCTTTTATCTGCGAATATATTGATCGAATGATCGCAAAAGTTCTGATAATAATTTTAATGATATTGATAATGATAATGTTGTGATACAACATAAATAATTTCCTCAACACTAGCTATAGAACCTACCATTATCCACTCTTTTTGAAGGCTTAAAGTGTGTTTTTACTATTCGAACGTAGTTTTCGTCCTTTGTTATAATTAACTCGAATTCACTGTTCTGATGCGATATTCACAGGAATGACACTCGAATCAAGTAGGTAGGTATTCAATAACGTATTGTCATATACTGTCATGGTGACTAGATTTCAATTAGAGTTGAAAAGTAGTGCGTTCATAGTGACATAGGTCCAAATTTTAGTTTCACAGAACTCTGATGAATTGAATATATTGCTAGTGGTGCAGAAAATTTAATATACACCTTGATAATGAAGAATATTATTACCACGGGACCTTATTCGGATGAAGCCTCGGGATATAATCTTGGTTACTAGGTTATAGTGATATTTTTTACTACCTCGGTGTATAAATAACTATATTCTCTTAGCAATCACGAAATAACGAACGAATTTCATTTTATATAGAATGTTCTTCTGGAATAACTGATAAGTACAGTTTTTCAACTGATGGTGATTTGCTTATACACCTTCCAATTTTTCTCGGTTATAAAACTACAATACCACTGGATCTTTCTATGTTTCATTCGACCAGAAATATTTCTTTTTATTCCATATCGTGATTTCCAGCTTCATGGAAAATCTGGGATTTCATTCCATTATAGAATCGGAAAGATTTTCAGGTCCCTTCAGACTTGAGAGTTCCAAACATGATCAATTTCTCAAGATGAAGAAGGAGACACCTGAGAGCATACAATAATTCCAATTAGATTTGAAATCTGAGATCGCGTTGGTTCAGTAGCGTACCTGCACAATTTTCCGTCGGTTTTGCTATCAACAGTACGCAAATCATGAACCACCCTGAATATACTTTGATCGAAGGTTTAATATATGCTATCAATGCAAATTAGTCACTTCAATTGACCTGCGAAGCCTCAGAGCTATATCTATAAAATATATTTGAAAAACTTTCTTCAAGTGAATACGTCCTATATCTATCTCCCGTAGAGAAGCGTTTCAGAACATATTATGTTCTCAGAAAGAGATTAGAGCCACTTATGATTCATTCGATTCCTTGAATATCATTAGTCATAAAAACTTGATAATTCAGTATAACCTTCAAGATATTGACCTCGCTCGTGACAGTCATTCTATTTCATGACGACCATCCACGAAAAGTATGATTTTAAGATGTCTATGCTCCTTTACTGAAGTGAGATCAGATTCGTTTTCGTGAGATCTCACTTCCATTTCAGGAATCACAACATAATATACAAAAACACATGGAGCTTCCTACATATTATCATCATTTATCATATATCAAGTTATCGCAATATTAAGGATGATAAGTATTTATGAAGCTATATATGATGATCTCAAATCTGTTATCATTTCAATGCTCATCTGGGAGATGTCTGACAAGGGTACCATCTCAAGATGCGAATTCCTTCAATGAACCAGATATATGAACACAAAGGTGAATCAGTTTGCTATTAGACGTTTTCCATCGATTCCCTTGCACTTCCATTCTATTGCAATACATAATTTTATGAGTCGCTGTAGTTTCATATCTGATCTGATGATGAATAGAAAGAGATTCATTCGTGAAGAAGGTACAAGATGATTCAATGAAAAGCATTCATCTGTATTTTCAATCAAGGAAGTCAGTCTTGTGGAACTGAATATTTCACTCATAATTCTCAATATTCATCTCGACTGATATCAATGGCAACTCATGGAATTTTCGTGTTGGCAATTCATATACAGGGTATCAGTTAAGTATGTGCCCAAACTTCAAGGGACGATTATTTAGTTGATTCTGGAGAAAGATGAAATGTTCTCATGAACATGCATGAACATAGGTCCGGGAATGCATATAGATTTCGAGATACAGGATGTCGAACTCCTTTTGAAATATTAGTTTTTTGAGAATAATGTGGAAATCCTCCACCCAATTTTGTTGATATTTCGCAGTGTTAATCACGGAAAAAAATCACTCACCCCATAACTTGATATTCAATAGTGACAAGTTGAAATTGGTATACTATTTGGAAACAAATTCATAGTCACAAGAATATTCGTGTTCCTGAAAATGAACACCTACCACTATTAACCTGTTCCATTGAAATTCAGATTGATTACCGTCAGTGACTACTGCACTTGTCATGAGTGACTTATTCACTCTTCATTATTGAAATATTTACTTCTCGTTGAAGACTTGATCACTCATCATAAGTGACTTATTCATTTGCTATTAGCGACTTCTTCACTTGTCATAAGTGACTCATCCATTTGCCATTAGTAACTTGTCCACTTGTCATTAGTGACTCATTTAGCTGTCATTAGCTATAGGAACTATGCAAAATTACATATCATGTTCTGTGGAGGATAATAACCTCCAAAGAATTCATTGTATAGCTATGATGAATCGAGGAATCACATGCAAGAAGGTGGGGCTGATGACAAATATTGGGACACTAGATACCGGCTATATATAAGGATCATGGGCCGAGAAAAACAGTCCATCAGATACACTCATACACTCTCTTTTCTTCAGTGATGTAGATGGAGAAGTGGAATTGAAATTAACTTTCATACTCATTAAACGTCACTTTCTCCCACTTCGAGTATCGTCGGTAGTGGAATATAGAATCCTGTATAGAAGAGAGAGGAAGACTTTTTTGTTTCATTATCTTCTTCAGAAGAATAACAGATCGAGAACTCAATACCCCACAGCTGAGAGCGCGGCACACAAACTGAGAATCTTCACGAATATGATAAAGCAGTTGGTCAGAAAGGTTATTGCATGACTTGTTCTAAAATTGTCCTCATCCATCATTCGGTTGCCCCCTTACGAGCAACCCTCAAAAGTCTTCAAGAGACTTGTGCGAGCAAGGAATGACGGGGGTCTTACATACCTTTCAACGTGTGATCCCAAATACTTTCTTAGGCCATCAGAAAAAATTCTGAGGTCGTGGTGGGAATCGTAACCTATATTCATATGAACTTTCCGTTTGAAAATAACCCAAGAAATCACTCCTCGATGTTTGACTACATACTTGAATAACATCCTGTAAAGGTATCTATTATGGTATTTCAATTCGATAATTCATCAACTCCACAAATCGATCAAAGTTTGTAAAAACTTTTTTGAGTGATTTCTCCTGCTTCCTCCAAACCCCTGGAAAAGACTCTGATAACAGAATTTCAAAAAACAAACTATTAGTGAAGCTATTCTTTCAATAATTGGAACATCTTGTAGATGATAGTAGTGCAAAAATGCACTTTCAGAACTCTTGTGTTTCTTGTGGTCCGACTTCGGTCTCAGACCTGCCGTTGAATGTAGCCCTATTGAATAAGTTAACTTCATTTCACGCAATATCCTTGCACGTTTCAAACGGTTGCTGATTCAAAAAATCTATGATGTTTTCACAAAGTACTGACACCCGAAAACAATGGATACTGGCCAATTGAATGGAAAACATGAAGTTCGACTGAAGTAGAGATACATTTCCCAGACGATGGAAGTAATCCAGGAGAACACGATCTAGTGCCTCCAAACTACATCAAGTCTTAGTATACCGAGCTCAATAACTAATTCCGGATTTAATCTTCCGTTTCGGTAAATGCGATGAAAATGTGACGCTGATCCAGATAACTAATTCCTACGGAACGATCCAGAATTTCTAGTGTAAACTGGTTTACAGGAGATAGACGAAACCAGAACACGTTTCGATGTGATGTATTGTTTCCCATGGCATGCGGCCAACTTTTAATGGGTTTCAGCCGATACTGAGGCATGCCTATTTGCATGAAGTGTAGATGATATCGGTTCCCACACTTTCGAATAAAAATTTGTTCGGAGCTCTTATCAGAACCTTGAGAGTGAAGCTTGAAACTCCAATGGTACAGATCGGAGCTGTGGCCTATAGAAAATTCGTGTACATATACCTATCTTCAGATTCCTACACTCGCCGAATAATATGAAATGAACTAATAGGATTGTATCAGCAACCACTATCCAAAATACCTGTGGAACGAGAAAATGATTTACCATTTTTCGAATATGTGGAAAAATCATTCCTACGACGGTCGTCCGATTGAAATCTTCCAGTCAATATCACCAATATTCAGAAAGTGAAAATCATCTAACAATAATATTGCATGAACGAAATAGTAGTTTTTCTACAAGCGTGCGTGATTCACCCTATACCCGCACGCAATTTAGTTTGGGAAGTGTCATTTTCCCGCAACAGTGCGGGAAAACGAATATATGATAAAAGCGCTAATAATATAAGTGGTTGGTGATGGAATATAAAAGTTCAAGTTTGTTTGTTGAAGTATTGAGTATGTATGTTCAGAATCATCTATCAAATTGCACCATTTATTGTGAAAATTAAGGAATATTGAGAAATGAAAATTGGTCATTATAAAAATCCCCCTATAGATTTGGATTGATCTGACGGGAGACGATATTGTTGTCATGCCAATCAAACGTAAAATTATTAATTCATTAGATAATAGTGGAAACATATTTGAGATTCTGAATTGCAAAATGGTGAAACACATCTTCGAATCGATTGGACATGTAATATTGAACTTTGTTAATACATCATTGAAGACAGGTGTAGTTCCAAATGATTTAAAAGTTAGTACTATAATCCCCATTCCAAAAATAAATAATACAATTAGAGCAAATGAATTTCGTCCCATTAATACACTTCCACCTTTGGAAAAAGTTTTAGAAGTGGCTGCCTACAACCAAATATCAGATTATATTGAAAAAAATAATATTTTAATTAATCATCAATCAGGTTTT